GATCCTGTTCTGGTGGGAACCTGTAATGCTGTCTGATACCTGTTTAGATAGCAAACACGCACAGTGTGTGTGTGTGTGTGTGTGTGTGTGTGTGTGTGTGTGTGTGTGTGTGTGTGAGTGTGTGTGTGTGTGTGTGTGTGTGTGTGTGTGTGTGTGTGGACTCATGGCCAGGCTAGCCCCCAGTAATGTCTTGGAAAGTCAGTACATTTATTCATGACTCACCGACAGTCTTAACCGACCCGGCCGCATATTAACATTGTAAACACAGGATGTGCTGGTTGCATGGTTGGTCGAGCATATACACACACACACACACACTTACTGTACAGAAAGACAAAGACACACACACTACCACCGGCAGACTTAATGAGTGTGGAGAGAGAGACAAAGAGGGATCAAGTTAAAGACAGGCCTTGGGCTTCTTAGTCAGACAGATAGAGCCCTGGCCCCAGCAGAGCAGTCCCCACAACACTCTGTGTGCTGCAGGAAAGAATACCGGTAAGCACTATCTAATGAAATAGAGGCAGGAAGATAAACACTACCCATAGACTATAGTGGCTAGCATGAACTAGAAACTAAAGGGGAGAATGAGCTTAAACGTCTGATTTCCGTAATGACTCTACTACTGTATCCTATAGAAATGAATCAACATTGGAGACGCAATACCATCAGTCCCAGCCATGGTCTTATCAACAAGAAAACACAGCCTGAACAAAAGACTTGGGATGTGTCTAGCCCTGGAGATTTCCACAGGTCTGATTGGACTAAAGTATGTGTGTGTGTGTGCGCGTGTGTGTGTGTGCCAGTGTGCTTACACGCCTTCTAAATAAATATGCCTCTTCACGCACTGCATTCATGTCAATCAGCAACAGCGCAGCGCTGAATACTGTTACTGGAAACAGAGAGCCCCTCCTTATGGCTCCTATGTTGATGTCATAATTATGCCTCCTCTGTTTACATGGCGCCTCTCCCTCTCTCGCCCCATTTCTCTCTCTCTCTCTCTCTCTCTCTCTCCCTCCCTCTCTCTCGCCCCATTTCTCTCTCTCTCTCGCCCCATTTCTCTCTATCTCTCCCCCCCTCTCTCTCTTTTTAATGAAGAACAGAGAAATGTCAGGTGCCTGGAGAAGAGAAGAAGGGAATGGGAAAAAGAGCATCTCTCAGTGTGTTTAGTCTACATCAACATCCTCTCTGAAGGATTAGAGAAAGGCCCATCAGACAACACTGTAGGCTAATTAATCCAACAAGAGCATAATTAGGACGTCAACTAGCGTATCGTACTGAGGAAAACAACACAGCATTACCTGGAGTGAATGAAAGCAGATTTCAATTGCAGATCTCTTGTTGCGTCTCTGAACAATATGGCCCAATCAGTGTGAGGATCGGTGGTGATTGAGAAGATGAAGATGAGAAGATTGAAGGTGTTCAAGCATCATTGATATGATACGATATCCCATCGGGAGGGGAATGAATCCCCGTCCAAAGCAGACACGGCAGAAGCACCCCAATCGTTCCTTCAAAATGAGATGCAGATTTGGAGAACCACTTATTCAAGAACAGAGGAAAAAAAGAGGAGGAAATATATTCCAAAACAATTGAATTGCTCAGTTTGAATAGCTGTTGGAACAATATGAGCAGTTAATATAAAACTCCACTATTCTCAAATGAGTAGTCCCTGTAGCGATGGACTCAGTGGTCTTTGTGTCTGAATCAGGCTAATGAGCCAGTTAGTGTGGCAGTAAATGTCACTACTCCCCTAGATAGCCAGGGGCTGGAGGACAGAGTGAGACAGAGCTAGAGGCCTTTACTGCACCTGAGGAGGTAGAAAGATGGGCTGGATCAGCAATAAGGACCTGCCACTCAGACACACGAACGCGCACGCAACAACACACATACACACACACACGCGCAAGCAGGAAGGCAGGCAGGCTGGCTCGCACGAACACACACACACACACACACACACAAACACACACACACACACTCCTCAACAGCGTTCAGAACTTTAGCCAGGCTTTAACTGGATCACACGTAGAAAACAGCGTGGCAGCTGAAGAGAGACTCTTCAGCAGCGCTTTAACATTGACAATCACAATAATGAGTAAAGAGGTTTTTTGGGCTCTTCTCCACAGTGGTAGGTGCTGAACGTTGAGGATTGGTTCATTAGCTGCCTGCCTGCTCGTCCTTCCCTTGTTTTAACTTAAGCTCATTTGGTTGGATTGAATTTTGGTTTTGGTCATGATGGTAATTGACTTAAAGGCTGAGCTGCAAGGATGGTTAGATGTTAGTCAGAGGATGTTCAATGTTGTCTCATGGTCAGACTGGTCACTGTCAGCAGATACTAGGAGCTAACGGAACAGTACACGGTCCTATCCATTGTTTACACTACAAACATCAGTACTGTTGCATGACTTTGTTATATAATAATCTAGTTAGCTTGCATCTTGCGTTCGGATTGTTTTGTACTTACTAATTAAGAGTCTACTCCAGCTACAGTGAGGGAAAAAAGTATTTGATCCCCTGCTGATTTTGTACGTTTGCCCACTGACAAATAAATTATCAGTCTATAAGTTTAATGGTAGGTTTATTCGAACAGTGAGAGACAGAATAACAACAAAAAAATCCAGAAAAACGCATGTCAAAAATTTTATAAATTGATTTGCATTTTAATGAGGGAAATAAGTATTTGACCCCTCTGCAAAACATGAATTAGTACTTGGTGGCAAAACCCTTGTTGGCAATCACAGAGGTCATACGTTTCTTGTAGTTGCCCACCAGGTTTGCACACATCTCAGGAGGGATTTTGTCCCACTCCTCTTTGCAGATCTTCTCCAAGTCATTAAGGTTTCGAGGCTGACGTTTGGCAACTCGAACCTTCAGCTCCCTCCACAGATTTTCTATGGGATTAAGGTCTGGAGACTGGCTAGGCCACTCCAGGACCTTAATGTGCTTCTTCTTGAGCCACTCCTTTGTTGCCTAAGCCGTGTGTTTTGGGTCATTGTCATGCTGGAATACCCATCCACGACCCATTTTCAATGCCCTGGCTGAGGGAAGGAGGTTCTCACCCAAGATTTGACGGTACATGGCCCCGTCCATCGTCCCTTTGATGCGGTGAAGTTGTCCTGTCCCCTTAGCAGAAAAACACCCCCAAAGCATAATGTTTCCACCTCCATGTTTGACGGTGGGGATGGTGTTCTTGGGGTCATAGGCAGCATTCCTCCTCCTCCAAACACGGCGAGTTGAGTTGATGCCAAAGAGCTCGATTTTGGTCTCATCTGACTTCAACACTTTCACCCAGTTCTCCTCTGAATCATTCAGATGTTCATTGGCAAACATCAGACGGGCATGTATATGTGCTTTCTTGAGCAGGGGGACCTTGCGGGTGCTGCAGGATTTCAGTCCTTCACGGCGTAGTGTGTTACCAATTGTTTTCTTGGTGACTATGGTCCCAGCTGCCTTGAGATCATTGACAAGATCCTCCAGTGTAGTTCTGGGCTGATTCCTCACCGTTCTCATGATCATTGCAACTCCACGAGGTGAGAACTTGCATGGAGCCCCAGGCCAAGGGAGATTGACAGTTATTTTGTGTTTCTTCCATTTGCGAATAATCGCACCAACTGTTGTCACCTTCTCACCAAGCTGCTTGGCGATGGTCTTGTAGCCCATTCCAGCCTTGTGTAGGTCTACAATCTTGTCCATGACATCCTTGGAGAGCTATTTGGTCTTGGCCATGGTGGAGAGTTTGGAATCTGATTGATTGATTGCTTCTGTGGACAGGTGTCTTTTATACAGGTAACAAGCTGAGATTAGGAGCACTCCCTTTAAGAGTGTGCTCCTAATCTCAGCTCGGTACCTGTATAAAAGACACCTGAGAGCCAGAAATCTTTCTGATTGAGAGGGGGTCAAATACTTATTTCCCTCATTAAAATGCTAATCAATTTATAACATTTTTGACATGTGTTTTTTTGGATTTTTTTGTTGTTATTCTGTATCTCACTGTTCAAATAAACCTACCATTAAAATTATAGACTGATCATTTCTTTGTCAGTGGGCAAAAGTACAAAATCAGCAGGGGATCAAATACTTTTTTCCCTCACTGTAGCTAGCTACATCGTCTAAAATGCATGAACCTCATGCTTTGTTTCAACTAATGTTAGCTAGCTAGCTAAAGCTAGATGTGCAGATTGTTGACATGACAGTATGTATGGTTAGTTGATGATAATGCTAGCTAGCTAGGTGGTTAGCAGCATTTTCAACTCATGATCCCCTTAGACAATGCATCCAGCTATAACATTTGGTACAGTAACATCGTATAAACATGTATTTCTCAGGGATCTGGTGGAGTCTGATTTCGAGGGAACCTGAGGCTGTTGTGGTTGTGTAAAACCCAACACTGAAAGAGAGGTAAGAAATGCTATATTATTTTTTTTTTCGTATGCTTTGTGATTCAATAATTATGGTTTGTAATTGACCAAAATTGTTTGCCATGTTTGCCCTTTCAGCACATACAGTCTAGCATTGATTCCTAGTGTGCTAATGTTTGCAGCCTCAGGTTCCCTCGAAATCAGACTCAACCAGATCCCTAAGAAATACATGTTTGTGTGATGTTACTGTACCAAATTGTATAGCAAAAATGCTGCCAAACACTTAGCTAACTAGCATTATCATCAACGAACCATTCATACTGTCATGTCAACAATCTGCACATCTAGCTTTAGCTAGCTAGCTAACGTTAGTTGAAACAAAGCATTAGGGCATCTTGTGATGCATTTTAGACAATGTAGCTAGCTAGAGTAGACTCCTTATTAGTAAGTACAAAACAATCAGACTACAAGACGCAAGCTAGCTGTTTGTTTATAGCTACATTAACGAACAAGTAGCTAGCAGGCTAACTTGATTATAAAAGCAACAATGTCAACACTGACCTGAACAGGAGAATGTTGGCCATTTATTTGTGACTGTCACTTGTCAGTGAGTGTTGGCTGTGTCTGCTGTGTTTGAATCTAGCGACAGTAGTAGCAGTTGAGCTCCATTGGCTCCTACAGCGAGGCACAATGAAGGTTGTTCTCAAGGGTGGGATTTAGCGCAAAGACACACCTTTCCCCAAGGCCAGCCCAGCAGCTATGGCTGGGCCAAACCACCATGTTTTCGTTCAAACTCATATTTTTTCTCTCTCACTACACAAGCAGTGGGGCGGCTTCTGTTGTGAAATGCAACTACGGATCCGGGCTTAAAGATTAATATAGAACAGAGTCATGCAACAGTACTGATGTTTGTAGTGTAAACAATGGATAGGACCGTGTACTGTTCTGTTGGCTCCTAGTATGACAGTGGCCAGTCTGACCATGAGACAACATCCTCTGACTAACTATCCTTGCAACTCACCCTTTAAGTCAATTACCATCATGACCAAAACGAAAATTCAATCCAACCAAATGGGCTTAAGTTAAAACAAGGGAAGGATGAGCAGGCAGGCAGACAGAAATGCACTAATGTAAATCGTCCTGGATAAGAATGTCTGCTAAATGACAAAAATTGTAAATGTAATCTGAATTATGGCTACTTGAACAGAACTAGGAAGGAAATGTTATGTAGAATCTGTCCTGGTGTTAAATGAACTGGGTATATGATGTCTAAACACACTAGGCCTCACCATTAATCTAATGAACAGCTCACTTCCTGAACAGAGCAGTTGAGAGGAGAAAGGTAAACACAGATTGTAACATTAAGACTACAGCTTCATTCACACGTTGTAACATTGTCGACACTTGGAGTGGACTTCCCCCCTCTAGCCAGACAGTTGAGGTACAGGGGTGCAACCAGAGCCCACTCAGCTGTTCGGGGTGTTTTGTCAGAAGGGGTCTGTGTGATCTCACTCTGCAGCTGCCTGCTCAGAGAGCCTGTTCCCCTGTTTCCTCCTCACCTCGACGGTAACTCTAGACACCTGACACAGAGAGAGAGAAACACACACACACAGACACACGTGTACTGTACATGCACACAGGCACACATACACACACGCACTAGCTAGTGGACACAAACACTCACGTAACCCACCCCCCCCTCCAAAAACACACACCTTCACATCAAAACTCCAGCTGACACTTAATACCAGTCTCATAAAGAACCAGATCCCTCTCCCCCCTCACTCCAGCCTCCCAGCTCCTCAAACAAATAAACTTTCTCCTGCTTCAAATAAAGCCCTGTCGTTCCCCTCCCATGCTTTAATATACACTTCTGCTTTCCCTTCCCTTGGCTTCCATAAAGCCCCACACACCTCTGAGGCAGGGGCCAGGGGCAGAGTGTCGTATGGGACATGCTTACTGCCCCATAGGGTCCCTCCTGGATTAAGATAAGAAGCTCAGGCACATAAGGGGGAGGCCAGTGGGACCATTAACAACCCATTTGAAGATGAAGTCTCTTTACGGCAAAGATATGCTAATATTTTGTAGCATTACAAACAGGGTAGAGAATGTGAGAGAGAGAGAAAAGGAACAAAAGAGGAGAAGACGGAGAGTGAGAGATGGAGAGAGGAGGGAGGGAGAGAAGGGGGAAAGAGAAAGAGAAAGTGTTGAAGATATTTGAAGAGAGTAAAAAGAGTCTTTACAGAACGTTCCAGGTCGCCATGACTCTTCGGCTCTTGTTGGTCTGCCTCCCGCTCACACATGGTTGTACTCACACACAAGCATGCACGCACGCACACACACACACACACACAAACACACACTCACACAAACACACACAAACAAACACAGGATGATAGAGCGAGAGAGAGCAGTGCAAGCTCTCCTCACACTCTTTCATTCTCCCAATGTAAAGCGTTTTATTTGTTCTGTGTTCGGGCCATTCAGTTGGTGCTTATCGGGAGTTCTCTCCATTTCAGATGGGCTCAGGAGACTTCAGAGGGGCTAAGCCCCCGCAAGAAGATTAGCCAAACACAGCCAGCTGGCCCAACCCAACCCAGCCCAGCCCAGAGTAGAGCACTCTACAGGGATTAAGGATGCCACGCTCACCCAAACAAGATTTAGGCTTTTCACTGGCAATTACTCTCAATGTACATTGTGATACATACTGAGCCGTGTGGCTCAGTTGGTAGAGAATGGCACTTGCAATGCCAGGGTTGTGGGTTCGATTCCCACGGGGGACCAGTACGAATCAAATATGAAAATGTATGCGCTCTGGATAAGAGCGTCTGCTAAATGACTAAACTGTTAAAAAAATATAAATTATAATAATAATATCCAGGAAAGAGACTCTTCCAAATCTGAGGTTTGGTACTGGGCCTATATGATACTGCACCTAGGCTTAACATGCATTAGAGTTACTGCTTTGTTTCCACACAACATTGCTCTTCCTCAGACTAGTTGTTATTCATAGACTAGACTGCCTGCCACACGTGCAGACAGAGCGTGGGTGTCATTATTCCAATGTTCAGTGTTCATGTTACATTTGGAACACCCAACATGACAGAGAGATCAACACATCTAGAAAAATGGCATCTGCACTCTAAACTCCAACCAAGGCCAGTACAAGCAGGTAAGGCTCTGTATAATGACCAGTGTATTTGAGTCAGATGAAGAGAGAGTAGATGAGAGGAGAGGTTGTGGTTCCCTTTGGAGCCTGGAGTCTCTGGTGGAGGGATGTAGATATGTGCAGGTTAATGAGCTCTATAGGTCCCACAGGAGCTGGGCCCTTTTATATCTGCTCTGTTCTCCTCTCTTCTCTTCTCCTCTTCTCCATTCCTGACAAGTCCAGGTAGAGAGAGACAGAGGAAGCGAGAGAGAGGAAAAGGAGAGGGATCAGGAGAGAGAGAGAGAGAGAGAGAGAGAGAGAGGGGATAGAGAGCGAGAAGAGAGAGAGAGAGAGAGAGAGAGAGAGAGATCGGGTGCGCGAGAGAGAGAGAGAGAGAGAGAGAGAGAGAGAGAGAATAGAGAGCGAGAGAGGAATAAGAGAGAGAGAGGGAGAGGATAGAGAGAGAATAGATAACGACGAGAGAGCGATATAGCGATATAGAGCTATTAGATCGAGAGCTCGAGCTAGAGATAGAGAGATAGAGATATAGAGATGAGAGAGAGAGAGAGAGAGAGGACCAAGTCTGCCAGCCTCTTGAAACAATTATTGCCTGGGATGAGAGGCATTAGGGGGTTCCAGTGCCAGCTCGACCCCAAATGTGGCAATAAAGGAAAGCTTTGGGGAGAGCGAGGCTAATCAGAACCAGACTCAAAACGACAACAAACCAAACCACACACACAGGAAAATATTAAAGCTCGGTGGGGGGAAAAGCCTGTAGAAACATCAAACTGTAATGAAGAACAGGGCCAATGAGCACACGAGAGAGAGAGTGGGAGAGAGAGAGAATGCTTTAAAAAGTTAATGGACCTGTTAGCCAAACCGCAGCTGTCTTTTTTGTTCCCTTTACATTGTTTTGTTCCAGATCTGTACTGGATGGCTTTATTGTGCCTTTTGTTTTCCCATCCCTTTAGATGGATAGCAGGGCTTCGTTGGGATGTCTGCGGCTACGTTGCCATGTCTTCAGATAGGATGTTACATTAAAGTGCACTACCGCCTGACTATTGGTTCACTGGATTAGACCTGGTGGGTATTATGGATGTGTGCCCTGGTAAGAGGAAGGAATAGGGAGGAAGGTGGGAGGATGTGGGAGGAGGGAGGAAGTAGGAAAGGGGGAGACAGGAGGGAGAACTAACCTGGTTACTTGGGGAAGGCAGGATCAGTGAACCATATTGGAGCAGAGGAGAGGGTTTAGAGTAACATTCATCTGTTGATCCTGTGTAAACCCTGTCTCTTACTGCTGATCTGATATGGAAATGTAAGTGCAGATGGAGGCTTCCACCAGCCTTATATGGGATTGTGGCTTGGCCTGGCAGGATCACAGATTTAGCCGCAGAGAGAGAAGGGGGGGAGAAGAAGAAAGAGTGACCAGAGACAGATAGGTACAGACAGCACAAAATATAAGAAACCAAAGGAGAAGTAGATAGAGAGAAAAACAAAGAAAGTAAGAATTAGAGAGAGCAAGAGTGAAAGAAACAGAGTGATGCAGACAGAGTGAAGCAGGCTGCTTCGCTGGTATTATATTGTTTCTTCCGCTGATGTTTTGTCAATGATCAGCTGTTCTTTGAAGGAGGAAGTCATCAGGTTGAGAGAACAGAAACATTTTCCTCTGTCACACAATGTGAAACACAACAACAGTATCCACATACACCACAACCCACAACTACTCACTGCTACAGCTGGAGCGGAGTCATTCTGCTACTGCCATTGTTCCGCATTCAGTCCCCAAGGTCTATATTATTTTAGAATCTCTTTCCTCTCTTTGGTTGGTAAAATAATGTCGCCCTTGACTATACTTTTGTTAGGACATTCTCTGCAGTTTGCAGTGTCCTGCCCCTACTACTGCACTGTTAACTTGCTCTGACTGAGGATTAGAGTCATAGAAGAGTTGTTACTACAGTTGAAGTCGGAAGTTTACATACACCTTAGCCAAATACATTTAAACTCAGTTTTTCACAATTCCTGACATTTCATCCTAGTAATAATTCCCTGTCTTAGGTCAGTTAGGATTTATTTTAAGAATGTGAAATGTCAGAATAATAGTAGAGAGAATGATTTATTTCAGCTTGTATTTCTTTCATCACATTCCCAGTGGGTCAGAAGTTTACATACACTCAATTAGTATTTGGTAGCATTGCCTTTAAATTGTTTAACTTGGGTCAAAAGTTTCGGGTAGCCTTCCACAAGCTTCCCACAATAAGTTTGGTGAATTTTGGCCCATTCCTCCTGACAGAGTTGGTGTAACTGAGTCAGGTTTGTAGGCCTCCTTGCTCGCACACACTTTTTCAGTTCTGCCCACAAATTTTCTATAGGATTGAGGTCAGGGCTTAGTGATGGCCACTCAAATACCTTGACTTTGTTGTCCTTAAGCCATTTTGCCACTACTTTGGAAGTATGCTTGGGGTCATTGTCTATTAGGTAGACCCATTTGCGACGAAGCTTTAACTTCCTGACTGATGTCTTGAGATGTTGCTTCAATATATCCACATAATTTTCCTTCCTCATGATGCCATCTATTTTGTGAAGTGCACCATTCCCTCCTGCAGCAAAGCACCCCCACAGCATGATGCTGCCACCCCCGTGCTTCACGGTTGGGATGATGTTGTTCGGCTTGCAAGTTACCCCCCTTTGCCTTCAAACCTAACGATGGTCATTATGGCCAAACAGTTCTATTTTTGTTTCATCAGACAAGAGGACATTTCTCCAAAAAGTACGATCTTTGTCCCCATGTGCAGTTGCAAACCGTAGTGGCGGTTTTGGAGCAGTGGGTTCTTCCATGCTGAGCGGCCTTTCAGGTTATGTCGATATAGGACTCGTTTTACTGTGGATATAGATACTTTGTACCTGTTTCCTCCAGCATCTTCACAAGGTCCTTTGCTGTTTTTCTGGGATTGATTTGCACTTTTCTCACCAAAGTACGTTAATCTATAGGAGACAGAACGCGTCTCCTTCCTGAACGGTATGACGGCTGCATGGTCCCATGGTGTTTATACTTGCATACTATTATTTGTACAGATGAACGTGGTACCTTCAGGCGTTTGGAAATTGCTCCCAAGGATGAACCAGAGTTGTGGAGGTCTACCATTTTTTTCCTGAGGTCTTGACTGATTTCTTTTGATTTTCCCATGATGTCAAGCAAAGAGGAAGTGAGTTTGAAGGTAGGCCTTGAAATACATCCACAGGTATACCTCCAATTGACTCAAATGATGTCAATTAGTCTACCAGAAGCTTCTAAAGCCATGACATCATTTTCTGGAACTTTCCAAGCTGTTTAAAGGCACAGTCAACTTAGTGTATGTAAACTTCTGACCCACTGGAATTGTGATACAGTAAATTATAAGTGAAATAATCTGTCTGTTAACAATTGTTGGACAAATTACTTGTGTCATGCACAAAGTAGATGTCCTAACCAACTTGCCAAAACTATAGTTTGTTAACAAGAAATTTGTGGAGTGGTTGAAAAAAACGAGTTTTAATGACTCCAACCTAAGTGTATGTAAAATTCCGACTTCAACTGTATATCAAGGTGAAATAGTCACATTTAAAAGCAGATAAAACATCCTAAATCTATGGCATGTTATTCCATTTAATGCTATGTACAAATGAAAAATGTAAAACTCTTAAGTGTTGTTACTTTTTAACATTGTTGTATTTTGTTTTCAATAGTGTAATGTAATGATATGGGTGCTAGATGCTTAACTCAATGAAAAGGCTGCTAGGACAGACAGTGATATTGATAGGAGTGCTAACATGCTAGATTCTAACCTCAGACAGTGCGGGAAGCAGCAAGGAAACCAGTAGAAACCTGATCCTAGGCAGCCCAGTTAATCTGATCAGCAACACTTTGTTCAAGTGTGTGTTATTTAAAGAGGACAGCACTCCTGCCTAGCTCAGCCCAAACATCTGCCCTATCCCCTTTCACCAGAGACGCCCAGGGAGCCAGGTCTGCTATCTGATCCACACCACAGCTTTCAGACCCATCACCCCACAGACACTACACTGCATACCTGGCCCATATTCATTAGTGCACAACATAACAAAAATGTTTTGCTCTGGATAAGAGCATCTACTAAATGACTAAAATGTAAGAGACAAGTAATTGAGTGAAACAGACATGTAAACTCTCCCCCAGTGGCACTGTTATCATATGAAAGAGAATTGGTGATATAAATAATTTTAGAAGGCATGATCAAGGACCTTCTACTAGTCATATCCTATTTCCTACATGATGTCAGTAACAGATATGTAGATAATGAGAAACCCACAATAAATTCAGGGATATCCAAGAACCAGAACACACCCTGAGACAGTGAAACCCTAGTCTAGGTTACCATACTCCTAAGTCTTGGTAACCTAATCATGAGGAAGCCTGGAAATGGAGGTTTGTGAAACCCAAACAGACTGAGTGCAGCCATAGCTAACAGCAGTGCAGCCATAGCGTTGTCCTCCTGAGGGAACTGTCCATGCTGCTGATGTTGATAGGAGCCTGGACCTTCAGGGGAGGAGGTTGACACCAGTCACCAGGTAACCTCCAGGCAGTCAGTCAGCTAAACCCACACAAGGGGAGAGGGAAGACGTTCTGCAGCTCAGCTAGCCCTGTTTACCTGCCACCCCCTGCCTCAGATGGCTCTGCTTATCTAAACCCCTAAAACACACACACACACAGTGGGCCTTAACCCCCACTGAGCCAGCAGCTGTTTCCAGCAGCACCAAACTGGGTGTGGCAAATGCACCAAAACACTGCCATGACTGACTGAAACACATACTAGTTCCTAAAGGGTTAAACTCCAGTTCGATGAATGGGAAAAAGGATGGGAAAAACACACATGACATTACATGCCACTGAGCTGTAATTCAATGTAATTCAACACAACAAGAGATGCTAATTGGACCTGGCACAACTGCATGCCAACAAATCCCTCACCTTCGCCCCTCAGCTCTGACCCTAACATCTGAAGTGGAGGGAGGCTTGTGTAATTTTTTCCCAACCGGTAACCATTATCCTTTAATGAATAACACCGGTCGGTGCTCAGGCTGACCTGGAGGCAGCTACACTGGGATCTGGAGGACTGGGGTCTGGCTACATTCTTTGATACGCTGACCTAGCCTAGCGGTTAAGAGCATTGGGCCAGTAACTGAAAAGTCGCTGGTTTGAATCCCCGAGCCGGGAAGGTGAAAAAAATTGACTGTTCTGCCCTTGAGCAAGGCAGTTAACCCCCAACAACAACTGTTCCACTGGTGCCGATGACGTCAATTAAGGCAGCCCCCTGCACCTCTCTGATTCAGAGGGTTTGGGTTAAATGCAGAAGACACATTTCGGTTGAATGCATTCAGTTTTGCAACTGACTAGGTATCTCCTTTCATCTGGCCCCTAACTACCTTAGCATTGACTCTCTGATGCTGTAGTGCAGGGGTGTTACTCATTCCATGGAGGGCTGAGTGTCTGCTGGTTTTTGGTTTCTACTTTCAATGTGTCCAATTAAGACCTAAACAACCAGGGGAGTTCCTAACTAATCAGTGACCTTCATTTATCAATCAAGTACAAGGGAGAAGTGAAAACCCGCAGACACTCTGCCCTCTGTGGAATGAGTTTGACATGTGCTGTAGTGTCTTTTAAAGTCATGTCCTAGTGCTACTCCTTCTCGCTCCTTTTCTCTCTCTCTCTCTCCCTCCCTCCCCCTCTCTCCGTCTCTATCTCTCCCACCCTTTCTCTGTCTCTCCTCCCGCCCTCTCCCTCTCTCTCTCTCTCTGGGCCAGTGTGATTGTGTAATGGTATTACATGGCCCTGACCTTGTGCTCCGTGTTAGCTGCTACCCTGGCCTCCGCAGCCCTACTCACTGGCTCTCTGACGGCCCATAATGAAAGAGCCTGGAGCCTGGAGCCTCGAGACAGTCACATAGCAGAAAGGCAGCCAAGCAGGGTTTTAAATGGACACAGGCACACACACAGGGTTTTAAGTGGAGACTGCTGCCTCGGCTGTGTCTCTACAGTATGTGGTCCATGGTTCAGAGGTGGAGCAAGGCTCTATTTTCCACAGGAGTCAATAGGAGTGTATTATGAACCTGGGTAAAGGAGCATACTGGGGCTAGTACAGAAGTAGCGTAGGGCCTACTGCAGTGTGGTCTGAGTAAAGGCAGTAGAAAGCTAGAGGATATGATACACTGTGTGGTTCAGGCATCACACCCACTCCCTCTGTCTCTACTCAGCCATTGGACAGTAGGGCAGGGGAGGCTGAGGCTCATAGGCCAGTAGCTCAGGTAAAGTCTTGAGATCCACCCACCAGAGAGATGTTGATGCTGAGGGCTGGGACCAGAGCTGCTGATGAGCTAGTAATGACTTTGAAAGGGAGTGTTAGTAGCAGAGGTCTGAAATATAATCCCACACTATTAACACGGCATCACTATTCATTAGAGTGATGGGTGGTGGTAGGTATGGTTTCGAGAGAGAGAAAGACAGAGAGAGTGTGCACACTGCCCCCAAAATGAAGTGGAAACTGAGCTGCACTTCTTAACCTCCTGCCAAATGTATGACCATATTAGAGACACATACTTCCCACAGATTACACAGACCCACAAAGAATTCGAAAAAAACACCCAATTTTGATAAACTCCCTTATCTACTGGGTGAAAAACCACAGTGTGCCATCACAGCAGCAAGATTTGTGACCTGTTGCCACAAGAAAAGGGCAACCAGTGAAGAACAAACACCATTGTAAATACAACCTATATTTATGTTTCATTTTTTTTCATTTTGTACTTAAACTATTTACACATCATTATAACACTGTATATAGACATAATATGACATTTGACATGTCTTTATTATTTTGGAACTTTTGTGAGTGTAATGTTTACTGTTAATCTTTTATTGTTTGCTTCACTTTTGTTTATTATCTATTTCACTTGCTTTGGCAATGTAAACATATGTTTCCCATCAAAATAAAGCCCTTAAATTGAAATTGAAAATTGAGAGGGAGGGAGCATGTAATAGTGCTCTTATAAAAGGCTAGATGTGAACCAGTTCTATACCCTGCAAACAAAGGACAGAGTGCAGTTTTTAAAATGGCATCAAAATCCAAAAAGTCACACACAAACCAAGGATAGGTCAGTTTGAGTAACTACTGTAGTAGAGGTAACAAAATGATTCGTATTACTGACTGAACCTGCTGTGTCAATCAAAAACGGATCATAATTTAATTGAAACTTCTTCCTCCCTCTCCCAAGTACACTTTGAACCTTTCTAGATGCTCAATTAAAATGTCACTTCACTAATTAAGTAATTTACCTGCAGGCTATTGTATCCTGTCTTTCCCTTGTCACTTCTCATATTCACATTCCTGTTTCAAACATATATAGGCCCAGACTCAGCCACAGAAACACTCCCCATCTCCTCCCCTCTGCTCTCCTCCTGCTCTTCTCCCCTCCTCTCCCTCTGTAGTAGAGGTAACAAAATGATTCGTATTACTGTCTGTTACCACAAGAAAAGGGCAACCAGTGAAGAACAAACACCATTGTAAATACAACCCATATTTATGTTTATTTATTTTCCCATTTGTACTTTGTACATTGTTACAACACTGTATATATACATAATATGACATTTGAAATGTCTTTATTCTTTTGGAACTTCTGAGTGTAATGTTTACTGTTAATATTTATTGTTTATTTCACTTTTGTTTACTATCTACTTCACTTGCTTTGGCAATGTTAACATACATTTCCCATGCCAATAAAGCCCTTCAATTGAAATTGAATTGAAATTGAGAGAGAGAGAGCGAGAGAGAGAGAGCGATATGAGGAGGAAATGGAAGATGAGATGAGAGCACAGGGAGAGGAGAGGGAGCGAGAGAGCGAGAGAGAGAGAGAGAGCGAGAGAGAGAGAGAGAGAGAGAGAGAGAGAGAGCGATATGAGGAAGAAATGGAAGATGAGATGAGAGCACAGGGAGAGGAGAGGGAGATTGGGGTGAGTGTCTCATTACAAACCTATACATGACTCCTACTATTTGAATGACCCACAACAGAGTAGTGTAACAAATGTGTTTGCTACAAATGACTACAATTCCTCAAAATCATCAGATATATTGTTATGTCATGGATATACTGGGGTTGAATATTAATACATTTTGCAACAAACTACATTGAACAAATGTTATTATAATACATATCAAAAGGTAGCCGTAAACATTTATTGATCTCATAAAAAAGGCTATTAACAGAATCGTGTAAGAGACAAGCTGTATTCTGAGGCCTGATAACTAGAGTTGTTTGTCAGATGAGAGGGAGAGAGACAGAGAGAGACAGAGACAGAGACAGAGACAGAGACAGAGACAGAGACAGAGAGAGAGAGAGAGAGAGAGGAGAGAGAGAGAGAGAGAGAGAGAGAGAGAGAGAGAGAGAGAGAGAGAGAGAGAGAGAGAGAGAGAGAGCTAAAAAGCTGTCCTTTATGACAGGCAAAAACATCAGTCCCTCTCTCTGTACTGTTCTGTCTGAGTGTTTGCCTTCCTTCAGACAGATTACAGTTTTGTTTTTCATCAAACTAAAACTGAAGCTTTCTTAAGATCCATTGGATGCGGCGTCGCTTGAAGAAAAACTGAAAAGGCAGCGCTTGAGAAATAACATTTTCCCCTTAAAATTAGAAACAGGCTTCTATGTTCTGCCTTCCTCCAGCTGTCTCCAGGCATAAAGTTTACAAGAAATCAAATACATGACAAAATAATTAACTAACCTCACATTTATGATTGTAAACTAAGAAAATAAAGTGATCTATTGCTGTATATGTATCTGAAAACAGCTTTGAAACTTTATATAAAAAGAGAATATGGACTATGTCCCAAATGGCACCCTATTCCCAGGTCAAAAGTAGTGCACTATAAAGGGAATACGGTGCCATTTGGGACACAGCCGTAATCTCCATGGTAGGCTGCTCAGAGCAGAACAGAGACACTGACCTGTAACATGTAGTTCTAGGTAACCCTGTCTCCTCTTCCTATCCCCCTATCCTTTTATCTCATTTTGGTCCACTCTCCAAGCCCACGGTAATGAATTGGGTAATCACAGTTATCTGGTCCATTCAAGTGCTCTGTGCAGTAAATCAATATCAATATAGATATAGATATAGATAGTGGCCAGCCATCCACTTTGAGTGACGACCACTAATCTAAATTATTTGTTGAGTTTCTGTGTCCTACAGATAGTTTCTCTCTCCTCTCTTTCTGTCCCTTCCTCTCTGTCCGAGGTCAGACAGGACAACAAAATAAACTGTCCTTCATTCCAAGAGCATCCAGTCTGGCTGAATGAGATCAGGAACCACCCTGGAAGCAAGGACAAACTTAGAGTATAGAGTAGGACAATTATTCTTTGTTCTTTATTTGGATCCCCATTAGCTGACACCTTAGTGACTCTTAGGGTCCAGAAAGATGCAGTACTAGATGCCTTGACATACTAGGATTGGGCAGCTAGAGAAAGCCATTGGAACTCCTCTGTGCCTACCTAGCTAACACCTAGCGAGCGCCAATCAATAGGGCCAACACAACAAACTGATAAGAATTTCTATGAATTTTTTTAATGTTCTCCCTGGGGTGAGCCACCCCAGGGAGAACATTAAAAAAATTCATAGAAATTCTTATGGCTGCGGACTAAACAGGGATATTGATAAGCTGACGGCAGGGGTGGGCCAGCCTCCCAACACTACTGCTGCTGCTAGGTTGCATAATGTTCCCCGCATAATTTACGTTGTGTTTTATTAAACATCAAATCAATTCCCACAATGTTTTTTTCCCCCTTTTCTCTTTATAATCAAATCAGAAAAAGGGCAAACTGAACAGCTTACAATGTAAAATGTAAAGGGAATGGGGAAATGTAGTAAGAGATTTTTGCATGTTTCATATTTGTTAAGCTTTAAAACAGGAAGACACGGATGTGTGTAGCCAGTGTTTGAAGTGGTTTCTCCAATCGGACACATGGAATTATTTGATTTGGATGGATGGTTGACATGACAGAAAGATATGCAGATATTTTCTTATCTAAAAGGTAGGTGAAATGTTTGCTTCAGTATACATTTCTCGAGCGCTAAAGTTATGTGAGTTCAAATAAAAAACAATAAAAAATAGTCTGGGTAGCCATTTGATTAGCTGTTCAGGAGTCTTATGGCTTGGGGTAGAAGCTGTTAAGAAGCCTTTTGGACCTAGACTTGACGTTCCGGTACCGCTTGCTGTGCGGTAGCAGAGAGAGAGTCTATGACTAGGGTGGCTGGAGTCTTTGGCAATTTTTAGGGCCTTCCTCTGACACGGGACTCGCACATTTTCTGCTTGGTTTAGGCTACAGAGAAAGGCATTGAAAGAAAGAAATGGCTTGTGACAATAGGCCTATAGTAAAAGGCGTGTTGTGTTGTGTTGGGTGAAGTCTGCTATATTTTGAAAACTGCTGGTGAAAGTGTTGTGTTTATGAGGAGTGTTGTTGCACACGCATATGCAGTAAGCTGTTTCCTGCAGATCTCAAAAGGTAAAATTGTGAACCTGTGACCCAAATGTATCACATAAAATGTATATGTCGTATCTCACAATCGATTGGGCTTCCCGAATTTAGTATGTTCACTGTGACAGAAGGTTGATTTATTTTTGTAGATTTGCTGTATTCCACAAAGTTCTATCTAGTGCTGCAGTGAGTGGGAGGGGCGCATAACCTTGTGGCATAGCTCTCGCTTTAGCGCTACCTCACTCTCCTTGAGTGAGAGAGGTGCACACTTTGACAGACAGGCCAACACTAAGTCAGAGAGGTTTAGGCACTTAGACACATTTCGGAAATTTACCGTTGTTCCCCTTTAAGGCACAATTACTCACAGACCTCCACAAGACCAGTACTGTGGGAGCTTAGCGAGAGTCTTGACCAGCATTAAACCCTCAAGGCTCTCTCAGCTCTCCTTCTCCCTCTCTCTCTCGCTATGTGAATTGTGCAAATAAAAGTTTTTTTTAAATTCAGTTTTCTCTCTCTCTGTCTCCTTCTCTCTCTCTCTCTCTCTCTCTCTCTCTCTCTCTCTCTCTCTCCCTCTTTGCTTCCTCTAACTTTATTTATTTTCTCAATATTTTATATTTACTGTAGGCAAGGTAAATAATGCTGGCATCAACTGAATTTCTGGCTCAGTCAACAGGAAAATATGCTGAAGAATTGGTACGTTATGTTATTTTCCCTGAGTAAGGCTTAATTAATTTACCTTCAGAAATTAAGTCCAATTACAGTACGCAGTCAACAGGGTCATTTGTTTCAAAACATACAAAATACAACCCTGCCAATAATAAATATGAAAATAAGCGCTTCTGTTCTGAGAGATGTAGAAATGTAGTAGGATTTATATATATATATATATATACAGTGGGGAGAACAAGTATTTGATACACTACCGATTTTGCAGGTTTTCCTACTTACAAAGCATGTAGAGGTCTGTAATTTTTATCATAGGTACACTTCAACTATGAGAGACAGAATCTAAAACAAAAATCCAGAAAATCACATTGTATGATTTTTAAGTAATTCATTTGCATTTTATTGCATGACATAAGTATTTGATACATCAGAAAAGCAGAACTTAATATTTGGTACAGAAACCTTTGTTTGCAATTACAGAGATCATACGTTTCCTGTAGGTCTTGACCAGGTTTGCACACACTGCAGCAGGGATTTTGGCCCACTCCTCCATACAGACCTTCTCCAGATCCTTCAGGTTTCGGGGCTGTCACTGGGCAATACAGATTTTCAGCTCCCTCCAAAGATTTTCTATTGGGTTCAGGTCTGGAGACTGGGTAGGCCACACCAGGACCTTGAGATGCTTCTTACGGAGCCACTCCTTATTTGACCTGGCTGTGTGTTTCGGGTCGTTGTCATGCTGGAAGACCCAGCCACGACCCATCTTCAATGCTCTTACTGAGGAGGTTGTTGGCCAAGAACTCGCGATACATGGCCCCATCCATCCTCCCCTCAATACGGTGCAGTCGTCCTGTCCCCTTTGCAGAAAAGCATCCCCAAAGAATGATGTTTCCACCTCCATGCTTCACGGTTGGGATGGTGTTCTTGGGGTTGTACTCATTCTTCTTCTTCCTCCAAACACAGCGAGTGGAGTTTAGACCAAAAAGCTCTATTTTTGTCTCATCAGACCACATGACCTTCTCCCATTCCTCCTCTGGATCATCCAGATGGTCATTGGCAAACTTCAGATGGGCCTGGACATGCGCTGGCTTGAGCAGGGGGACCTTGCGTGCGCTGCAGGATTTTAATCCATGACGGCGTAGTGTGTTACTAATGGTTTTCTTTGAGACTGTGGTCCCAGCTCTCTTCAGGTCATTGACCAGGTCCTGCCGTGTAGTTCTGGGCTGATCCCTCACCTTCCTCATGATCATTGATGCCCCACGAGGTGAGATCTTGCATGGAGCCCCAGACCGAGGGTGATTGACCGTCATCTTGAACTTCTTCCATTTTCTAATAATTGCGCCAACAGTTGTTGCCTTCTCACCAAGCTGCTTGCCTATTGTCCTGTAGCCCATCCCAGCCTTGTGCAGGTCTACAATTTTATCCCTGATGTCCTTGCACAGCTCTCTGGTCTTGGCCATTGTGGAGAGGTTGGAGTCTGTTTGATTGAGTGTGTGGACAGGTGTCTTTTATACAGGTAACGAGTTCAAACAGGTGCAGTTAATACAGGTAATGAGTGGAGAACAGGAGGGCTTCTTAAAGAAAAACGAACAGGTCTGTGAGAGCCGGAATTCTTACTGGTTGGTAGGTGATCAAATACTTATGTCATGCAATAAAATGCAAATTCATTACTTAAAAATCATACAATGTGATTTTCTGGATTTTTGTTTTAGATTCCATCTCTCACAGTTGAAGTGTACCTATGATAAAAAGTACAGACCTCTACATGCTTTGTAAGTAGGAAAACCTGCAAAATCGGCAGTGTATCAAATACTTGTTCTCCCCACTGTATATATATATATAAATATATAACTCAGTGAAGCACAACATGTTTACGACATGTGATTCAGTCTTTTGGGGTTTAGTTTACCATACTGGCACAGACGCCATATAGCAGAGCTAGCCTATATCTCTACAGTCTTAAGGACTGAGCACTATCCATCTGTAATCATAATAATAGTAATGAGTATTTCTCTCTTTTTGTTAGATGATCATAGCTTTAAATTTTTCCTTCAAGTCATTTGCGGATAAAAGAGAAAGGAATTAAAATAAACAGAGAGAAACAGATTGAGGGAAAGAGAAAGAGAGCTATTTGAATGTGAGTAATGAAATAGGTGTTTTCATAAGGGCATTGAGCCACGTCGTCCGAGCTGTCTGAACACCTCTCCTCTACAAATCTGCCTGCTGAGCTCATCTCCTCACCACTTGAAAGAACTGGAAAACTGTTTGCTGGGATTTGTGAGAGGTGAGGCAAACAGGCAACAAGAGACTGAGAAGTATCAGGTAATGACAGTGCTATTCGTCTGCTATCCACTTAGGATGTTGTAGTCATCTTTGGGTTCTACAGTAATTTTTCATTTTTTGGGAAGCTAAGCTAACCCTTCTGAAATGTGGTAATTTAAAGACCTTCAACTCTCCCTCCTTCCATGAGAAATTGTGCCAAGGTGATTCACTTTCCCGGCAAGGTAGGAAGGTGTGCTTTCTTTCCTTGCAGCTGCCAATTTCTGCAGGCAATTCTCCTTGTTATTGCCACTGGGTGAATTGTGGCTGGATTGCTAAGTGTGACATGATTAGGAATGCCTGCAATCTCACCCAGCCAGTCGTACATTTGGGGTTTTGGGGGGAGATATTGACAGCTGTCATTTACAGTACAACTGCTCACCTTGCTCCTGTTCTCTGTCATTTCACCCAGACAGACATTTACATTTCTAGCTTGACAGTCACACTCTTTCATTTATAAAAAACACACAAACCAAACAAAGCAAATGATTTAACAAGGCAATTATTTGTTCGACAGGGATTAATTGAACCCCACCATTACATATGAAAACAAAGTGCTGCAACTGCCATTATAAAAGACATTCAGAGAGGAAGAGAGGAATTATTATGAAGACTGGGAATATACCTATTAGAAATTATGGGACTGCCAGCGTTTTCACCTGAAATGGTCTATTTCAAGTCAGTTCAAGTCAGACATTAATATTCAGACATTAACAATGATCAACATAAAATGTAGAACGTATTTGTAAAATGTGCAGTATGTGTGCCTAAGGGCACAGTGTGTGTGTGTGTGTGTGTGTGTGTGGACAGGTTGCAGTAGGACCTCTCCTGCTGGGCTGAGAGCTAGGCATCGTTCCTGAATAGGATGGGCTCTATTCAGACCGTTGCCATGGGCCTCAGCTGTTGCTAAGGACACCATCCACCATGCTGGTTTGGCTGCAGCAGCTCCTGGCACAGGGAGGGATCTCTCTCTCTCTCTTTTTCTCTCTCGCGCTCATCCTCTCTTATCTGCTCTCTCCCTTTCTCTGTCTCTCTTTGTCTCTCTCTGTCTCGCTCTTTATCTCTCTCTCTCTTTCATCCTCTCTCTCTTATCCACTTTCTCTCCATCTCTATCTGTCTCTCTCTTTATCTCACTTTCGCTCTCCCCCTCTCCCCCTCTCCCCCTCTCTACCTCCCTCCCCCTTTCCCTGCCTCCCTCCATCCCTTCCTACCTCACATGAGACCTGTCTACATCGGTGTATACCTCATTAAGGTGACAGTAGAGGGGAGTCACAGCAAACAGAGGGAACAGAGGGTGAGGTCAGAGAGGAGAGGAGAGGAGAAAGGAGGATCTGTCCAGCTGATGGTGGACAAACAGCAGGCCAGCAGGTCACCTCACCTCTAACCACCAGGCCCTGGGCTGGCTGACACCCTGGGCTGAGACTGATATGAAACACACAGACCAGACCCAGGACCACGAAGATCCCTCACCCTGTTGCTCTCTGTTAGGAAATCTAATGCATGTAATAACACAGACCAGGCTGGCTCGGTAGCCAAGCACACACACACACACACACACGCACACACACACACAGGTCACATCTGGGGCGGTTCAGCTTGACAATACAGGCATTGCCTGCAAGTTGCTATGGGGAGAAGTGAGGGAGTCCAGTCCAATAGTCCTAGAGAGCAGCTGCCTCTGTGTGTTGTCCTCCGCATCCCTTTCAACTCCCCGGCCCTTTGTGTGCCACGTTCAGCTGCGCCCCACCACTGTGGACCCCGGTCCCCTCACCCCTCACCCCCATCCCATCACTCCCACAACCCCCTGTCACAGAGATGATGTGGCAGTGACCAGGTGAGTGGGCTGGGCGCCCGTGGTCATGCATGGTGTGTCAGTTAACCAGTTCAATGGGACAATGGCTCAATTTGTCCAATTTATGCCCCTGTCACACTCACAACCCATAAGGGGGTCGGGAGGGACGCACCTGAACCAGCCTTTCATGCTGGGACAATGTCCCTGTTCTCATTTGGTGCCAGGAACCCATCCGAACCAAATGTTGATTATCCAACAGAGCAGAGCGCGATGAAAATAATGAATTGGGACAAACGCAGGCACTCTACACATGGCTGGAGTTGTTAGACTGCTCTGTTCTCCATCTCTTGAGGCATGGTCTAGTGTCCATACTGGTCCAGACTCTCCATCCCTCACTTACTGCTGTAGTAGAGATGCTTTGAAAGGTGAATTATTACACAAAGACCATGCTGTGTGTCCTGTCAGCTACAACATGGGGAAGAACTGTAGGAGCTACCATTACGGAGTTCATTGGCATGGGCCTTCAAGGGCAACAATTATGGCTTGGCTGCACATCTTGATGCTATTTCCCAATGCAACTGGTTAATTATTGTACCCAGAAGAATCAAACTGAAGACCTCTGTAATGTGAGAAGCAGTACTAGGCCTATGATATTCCACCAGGGAATCTATCCGTTTGGTCTCAGGCTCAATACTACTTAACCCCTGACTCAGTACTAAGGAGCAGGGATGTGGAACCAACCTACATTGCTAGTATTCCCAGTTCCCCTCTCCATCCCTCTCTCCTCTGTTCTGGGATGGACCCTCAGAGAGAAAGAGTGTTCTGCTGGGGGCTCTTTAACCTCTCCATTCAACAGGGTTGTCTTTTCTGTCTCTTTCAACATCCCTTCTACATGTTCCTCTGCTTCCATCCCTGCCTGGCTATCAAAGGGAGCTCTGGTTTTCATCAAGCTGTCCACTCAGGAGGAAGCTTCTAACTGTAACCAGTGCCTGTAATCTGGTTCAAGTTATTAATTAACCTACCAGCGTGTTTACAAACACCACAGGAACAAGATCATCCACATGTATTGATCACATTATTATATATATATATTTTTAAATTTTGTTACTTACAGCCTTATTGTAACATTTATTAAATTAATTATATTCCTCATCAATCCACACACAATACCCCAAAATGACAAAGCGAAAACAGGTTTATAGAAATTTTAGCAAATGTATTAAAAATAAAAAAAACTGAAATAACTTACATAAGTATTCAGACCCTTTTCTATAAGACTCGAAATTGAGCTCAAGTTCATCCTGTTTCCATTGATCATCCTTGAGATGTTTCTACAACTTGAATGGAGTCCACCTGTGGTAAATTCAATTGATTGGACATGATTTGGAAAGACACACACCTGTCTATATAAGGTCCCACAGTTGACAGTGCATGTCAGAGCAAAAAACAAGCCATGAGGTCGAAGGAATTCTCCGTAGAGCTCCGAGACAGGATTGCGTCGAGGCACAGATCTGGGGAAGGGTACCAAAACATTTATTTCTGCAGCATTGAAGGTCCCCAGAACACAGTGGCCTCCATCATTCTTAAATGGAAGAAGTTTGGAACAACCAAGACTCTTCCTAGAGCTGGCCACCCGGCCAAACTGAGAAATTGGGGGAGAAGGGCCTTGGTCAGGGAGGTGACCAAGAACCCGATGGTCACTCTGACAGAGCTCCAGAGTTCCTCTGTGGAGATAGGAGAACCTTCCAGAAGGACAACAATCTGTGTAGCACTCCACCAATTTGGCCTTAATGGTAGAGTGGCCAGACGGAAGCCACTCCTCAGTAAAAGGCACGACAGCCCGCTTGGAGTTTGCCAAAAGGCACCTAAAGGACACTCAGACCATGAGAAACAAGATTATCTGGTCTGATGAAACAAAGATTGAACTCTTTGACCTGAATGCCTCTACGGTGAAGCATGGTGGTGGCAGCATCCACTGCTGTGGGGATGTTTGTCAGCGGCAGGGACTGGGAGACTAGTGAGGATCGAGGGAAAGATGAACGGAGCAAAGTAAAGAGAGATCCTTGATAAAAACCTGCTCCAGACCACTCAGGACCTCAGACTGGGGTGAAGGTTCACCTTCCAAAAAAATTACAATGACCCTAAGCACACAGCCCAAACAACACAGTAGTGGTCTCTGAATGTCCTTGAGTGGCCCAGTCAGAGCCCGGACTTGAACCCGATCAAACATCTCCGGAGAGACCTGAAAATAGCTGTCCAACGACGCTCCCCATCCAACCTGACAGACCTTGAGAGGATCTGCAGAGAAGAATGGGAGAAACTCCCCAAATACAGGTGTGCCAAGCTTGTAGCGTCATACCCAAGAAGACTCAAGGATGTAATCGCTGCAAAAGGTGCTTCAACAAGGTAAAGGGTCTGAATACTTATGTAAATGTGATATTTCAGTTTTTTTATTATTAATACATTAGAAAAAATGTCTAAACACCTGTTTTTTCTTCGTCATTATGGGGTATTGTGTGTAGATTGATTAGAAAAAATTATATTTAATCAATTTTAGAATAAGGCTGTAATGTAACAAAATGTGGAGGTCTGAATACTTTCCGAATGCACTGTATGTGGATCATGTTAAAAATATTTGTTGGACTGATGTGATTAATAAGGAGCATCCAGACGCTGCACTTGATGCATTTTCTGAAATTGCTTCTTCCAATTATTGATAAACATGCACCTGTTAAGAAACTGATATTTACAACTGTTAAGGCTCCATGGATTGATGAGGAATTGAACAACTGTATGGTTGAAAGAGATGGGGCAAAAGGAGTGGCTAATAAGTCTGGCTGCACATCTGACTGGCTGACTTACTGCAAATTGAGGAATTATGTGACTAAACTCAACAAAAAGAAGAAGAAATTGTATTATGAAGCCAATATCAATTATAAAAACTTTCGAATACTTGATGTTGCCAATTATGTTAAAGATTATTTCATTGGCAAAGTGGGCAAACTTAGGCAGGAAATGCCAACTACGAACAGTGAGCCATTGTACTCATGCACACAAAAACAAATAATGAAAGAAAAGCATTGCAAGTTTGAATTTTGTGAAGTTAGTGTGGGAGAGGTGGATGACAAACCTCCTTGCATTGACAACTTAGATGGAAAGCTACTGAGGATGGTAGCTGACTCTATAGACATTCCTATCTGTCATATCATTAATCTGAGCCTAGAGGAAAGTCTTTGTCCTCAGGCCTGAAGGGAAGCCAAAGTCATTCCGCTACCCAAGAGTGGTAAAGCGGCCTACTGGTTCTAACAGCAGACCTATCAGCTTGCTGCCAGCTCTTAGCAAACTGTTTGAAAAAATTGTGTTTGACCAAATACAATGCTATTTCTCTGTAAACAAATTAACAACAGACTTTCAGCATGCTTATAGGGAAGGGTACTCAACATACTGCACTGACACAAATGACTGATGATTGGTTGAAAGAAATGTATAATAAAAATATTGTGGGAGATGTACTGTTAGATTTCAATGCAGCCTTTAATATTATTGACCATAACCTGTGTTTGAGATTTAATGGAAGCTTCTCTAATGTCAAACATGTAAAGTGTGGTGTACCACAGGGCAATGCTCTAGGCCCTTTACTCTTTTCTATTTTTACCAATGACCTGCCACTGGCATTAAACAAAGCATGTGTGTCCATGTATGCTGATGATTCAACCATATACGCATCAGCAACCACAGCTAATGAAGTCACTGAAACCCTTAACAAAGAGTTTTGGTATGGGTGGCCAGTAATAAACTGGTCCTGAACATCTCTAAAACTAAGAGCATTGTAGTTGGTACAAATCATTCCCTAAGTTCTAGACCTCCGCTGAATCTGCTAATGAATGGTGTGGCTGTTGAACAAGTTGAGGAGACTAAATTACTTGGTGTTACCATAGATTGTAAACTGTCATGGTCAAAACATATAGATTCAATGGTTGTAAAGATGGGGAACGGTCTGTCCGTAATAAAGAGATGCTCTGCTTTTTTGACACCACATTCCACAAAGCAAGTCCTGCAGGCTCTAGTTTTATCTTATTTTGATTATTGTCCAGTCATATGGTCAAGTGCTGCAAAGAAAGACCTAATTAAGCTGCAGCTGGCCCAGAACAGAGTGGCACGTCTTGCTCTTTGTTGTAATCAGAGGGCTAATATTAATACTATGCATGCCAGTCTCTCTTGGCTAAGACTTGAGGAAAGATTGACTGCGTCACTTCTTGTTTTTATAAGAAACATTAATGTGTTGGAAATTCCATATTGTTTGCATAGTCAACTTACACACATCACTGACACACACACTTACCTCACCAGACATGTCACCAGTGGTCTTTTCACAGGCCACAGGTCCAGAACAAATTCAAGGAAACTTACAGTATTATACAGAGCCATGAGTGCATGGAACTCCCTTCCATCTTATATAGCGCAAGTGAACAGCAAACCTGGTTTCAAAAAACACTTAAAGCAACACCTCACGGCACAACGCCTCTCCCCATGTGACCTCCTTGTTATGTGTATGTACTGACATGTATGTGTAACTGATAGATGCACACACACATACTACATGTTAATGTTTTAAATGTATGTAAATTGTAAAGTATTTTGTCTTTAATGTCGTCCCCCCCCCCCACTACCACCACCTTTTAACCCCTGTCCTTCCATCTTGCCCCCAACTAACACCTGCCTGCCACCACACCAGTAGCACAATCCACCATCACTATCCTAGCCGGCGTCCCTTCGCCATGCTCCACCACAGCCCAGGAAATAGCTACATAAACAGCAGGATCTATTCTATAGGGAGAGAGGGAAGCAAAGAGAGAGGGGGGGGGGGGGGGGGGGGGGATGTGTGGATTGAATGGGGAAGCGGTGAAGGAAGGTGTGTGTGTGTATGTGTCAGGGGGAGGGGGTTCTTTGGGAAGGAAGCCAATCCAATTACAGGCAGCGGTGCAGACGAGCCCTGGTTCCTGGTTCAGCTGCACTAAAGTCTCTTTCTCCTCCTCTCCTCTCCCCTTCCTCTTCTCTCCCTCTCACTCTTCCTCTACCTCCCTCTCTCTCTCTCTCGCTCTCTCTCTACCTCCCTCTCTCACTCTTCCTCTACCTCCCTCTCTCACTCTCTGATCTGGGGGAGGGGAATGCAGTGGAATGCCAGCTTCCTTATGCAAGGATGAGGCTCCAGCACTGCTATGCTGTATCACCTCACCTACCATACATAACATCCTGCAAACCTATAGCCCTGTCCTGCTATGTAGTGCTGTGCACTGGTCCCCATGGCCTGTCTGGCAACAGCTTATCAGCCTGCTGCAGTGGGAAAAAGCAGAGCAGGGGCTGGGACTGCAGTGGAAGAGAGCAGGGGCTGGGACTGGGAGGCTGGGGCTGGGGCAGGGACTAGCGATCCTCTCCTCAGGTCCTCCATGCCTCCCGCCTGGGCGACACACAAGGGTGGAGTAGTGCTGAGCGATTAACAGAAATGTAGGTTATTTTTCGGTTTTTAAACAACAAATTGACCGATGTCGGTTAAATTATTTAAATTCCATTTTGTTCTTTATTTTCTTTCTGTGAGCTCAATGCACACATCGCACAATTTCTCAAGAGATTAATCAGATCCAGCCTGAACTGTGCGATGTAGTAGGGAGTTCCAACAGGCCAATATTCTACTTAGTTTAGCACATAAAACATGGTAATTAACTTAAATGAACATAATCCATTCCGCATCTACTTGTCCGGTCTGTGTTGCTTTTACGACTGCTACTATGGAAGAGAGAAGAGTGCGCTATCGTGAGGTTATATAGAGAGCAGCTGTTGCTTCGCAAGGTATTACTACCTGAAAATACATGATCTAAGTGACTGATAGTTGGTATTCAGCAGTCATTAAAAGTATGCCTTATTTACTTTGAAGAACTACAAAATAGTACATTTGTCAGACAGCATAGGCAGCAGCTCTATAGAGATGAGATGATGACTTGGAATTAAATAATAAAGTCATCAAATAAAACAAATGTAATATGCAAAACAACATTTTATTAAAGTAAAGTAATGTGAATAACTGATGGTTAATAAGTGATAAGCAGTAATGGGCAGTCACTACCATGATGGGACTTTTATCAATTGTTTTATTCTGCGTTGTTACAGCATTCAACCCACATCATGCATGTTTCTTTTTTTATAATCGAACCGAAACCGAACCGACCTCAAAAAGCACTAATCGCTTAGCACTAGGGTGGGGGTAACCCCCTAAACACACAGCCACCACACGCTACCAAGCAGCCTCATCCTCTCCCCTCTCTCTTTGTCATGAATGGATCAGACTCCATGCTTGAACAGGCTGAACATACAGGCTTCCAGGATTTTCTCTCCCAGTCAGGCAGCCAGTGAACCAGCCAGCCAGGCAGTAAGGCAGTGGACGGTGGAGCTGTGTCTCTCGCTGTGCCTCCTGATATCCTGGATAAATCCTCATCCATGCTATGGTTACTGTGGTAACAGTCATGATGCTGTGGATGTGAGAGAGGAGATGACGGTACCAGCACCAGACAGCCAGGCAGCCATGATGGTTCACTTTGCGTGGCATTGTCATACATGGAGACTGGGAGAGGATGTGAAGAGAAGACACATACTGTACAGTGGGGGGGGGAAGTATTTAGTCAGCCACCAATTGTGCAAGTTCTCCCACTTAAAAAGATGAGAGAGGCCTGTAATTTTCATCATAGGTACACGTCAACTATGACAGACAAAATGAGATTTTTTTTCTCCAGAAAATCACATTGTAGGATTTTAATGAATTTATTTGCAAATGATGGTGGAAAATAAGTATTTGGTCAATAACAAAAGTTTCTCAATACTTTGTTATATACCCTTTGTTGGCAATGACACAGGTCAAACGTTTTCTGTAAGTCTTCACAAGGTTTTCACACACTGTTGCTGGTATTTTGGCCCATTCCTCCATGCAGATCTCCTCTAGAGCAGTGATGTTTTGGGGCTGTCGCTGGGCAACACGGACTTTCAACTCCCTCCAAAGATTTTCTATGGGGTTGAGATCTGGAGACTGGTTAGGCCACTCCAGGACCTTGAAATGCTTCTTACGAAGCCACTCCTTCGTTGCCCGGTCGGTGTGTTTGGGATCATTGTCATGCTGAAAGACCCAGCCATGTTTCATCTTCAATGCCCTTGCTGATGGAAGGAGGTTTTCACTCAAAATCTCACGATACATGGCCCCATTCATTCTTTCCTTTACACGGATCAGTCGTCCTGGTCCCTTTGCAGAAAAACAGCCCCAAAGCATGATGTTTCCACCCCCATGCTTCACAGTAGGTATGTTGTTCTTTGGATGCAACTCAGCATTCTTTGTCCTCCAAACACGACGAGTTGAGTTTTTACCAAAAAGTTACATTTTCTACAAATTCCTTGGAGGGGGGGGAACTCTCCCCCTGTCACATTGCCATACCCTAGGTTTAGCTGAAATTACGACCCTGTCAGCAAGGCAGCCTCAACAGCTGTAAACACAGGGAGCTCTTCTAGATTACACATACATAATTTGGCTGTCACCGCACTTCAATACCCAAAAAGCCCTGACTGTGTAATACCAGGTTAACAATTGTATTATGATGAATTTGCCAACTTCTCCCACCACGCAACACGCTCCACTTTCTCCATCATCATTCAAATCTAACCATGCATAATAGCCACCTGAGCCACTACAGTAGGTGCTCTTTATGCTGCTTTGTTTTGGTGGCGGTGGGGTGAAATGTGACATTTGAGGACTGTCTGCCCTTAAAGCTACAGTCTAAGATCTGGGAATCTATTCAATTGTCATTTAAATTCTATTTTTTTCAAATCCCAGACTGTAGCTTTAACCGACATCATTGTCTGTTTGCTCCAGCAGAGACTGCAGGTCGGAGTTTGTGTGGGCCTGCTCTCTCTAGCCTCCCCTCTCTCTGTGTCTCAGGGAGATAGGTGCCTATTAAAATTAATGGGCCGGTGGAGGTTATTCAGCACGGCCACCACGGGCAGAGCTCATTCCACAAGGGGAACATAATTAGCACTACAGAGGAACGACACCCCCCCACACACACACACACCCTGCCACCCTACACCCCTGCCCACCTGCCCAACTGTCACAGGACCAGAAGCATTAAATATGGAGGAGAAAGGTTTATCTTCTCCTCACCACCATAATGTGCTCCATCCATTCAGTCCCTTGAATAGAATACTACCACTTCAGTGTCTGAGGACCAGTTAGTGGACAGACAGCCTGCTCAGTCTCCAGAGGCCACGGCTTCAACAGTGATGAAGTGCTTCACAATCACTTTAAATGAACCTTGAACTTGAACTGGGAGACGAGAATAGCTAGAGGACTTTTTCAATAGCTGAATGAGCTGGAGAAGACTGCACAGAACAGAGTGCAATTGAGAGGCGTCATCGATGGCCTATGCTCCCTAAAGAGCGATGTCCCTAGGTAAGTCAGTATTTTAGAAGTCCAAGCTGTGGCTGACGATAACTGATGGTAACTGACCATAACTGCCAGTAATGGTAACTGACCTTTTTGAGGCGTCCGCTCTTGGTGCCGACGAAGGCTACGCAGTATCCGTTGTAGACGTAGGAGGTGACAGAGGTCATGCGGTCCCGTGTCTCTGTGTAGAGAGTGTGTCCTGTCACCAGCTGAGAGCCGCCAAGGGGCTGGTTGATGTCCAAACCACAGAACGAGTCATCGATGGGCACCGGCTGGAAGAGAGAGAGGAGAGAGAGAAGGGGTTAGATATGGGGAGGGAGGGAGGGAGGGAGGGAGGGAGGGAGGGAGGGAGAAAGAGATACTATAGAGAGAGGCAGGGTCAAAGGGTGAGAGAGTGAGGGTTCTATGAAGAGAGAGAGAGTAGGATCAGAGAGAGGTGGAGGTGTTATACTAGTGAATCCTGCTGTAGCCTACCAGACAGACGTTCTGCTGCCTTTCTGTTCCACTTGGTAGACATGTCTCTGCTGTGCTTGACCGAGCCCCACCTTGCACTCACCCTGCCTCATCACACAGGTATATGATAACTTCAGGGCAAGAGGAGGAGAGCATGCTAACTTCTACCATACAGAGCTTCTCTACTCTGTACAGTGATGGAATGGAATGGACAGGTAAACAATAACTAGAGAATCTGACTTGTGACCTGACTTTCGCCCATCCAAGAGAAAAATGACCTGTCAAAATGACTGATAAAATCTCCTTCTCTACAGAAATATAAGAAACTACGCAGAATCCCGACGGTGCCATCAAAATATTTCAAACTCTCCTTAGTTGGGAATGGAATCAGAGGAGGGAGGGGCTAGGCTGTGGTGGTGATCCAGGTCAGGCCAGAGTGTGAGTGGCGGTGACAGTGGAGGAGGGATGGTGGCCTCAAAGTGCCATATAGAGTAAATGAGATGGCCAGGAGAGGGCTGGGGCTGGGAGGAGCATCATTCAGAGATATCAGGGCAGACAGACAGACAGACAGACAGGCAGGCAGGCCAGGGCACAATGATCACTGACAGTGTGTGTGTATGTGTGTGTGTGTGTATGTGTGTGTGTGTGTGTGTTATTACAGATCAGGGCCGGGGACAGCCACACTGATCACTGACACACAGCCACTACAGCCCCAGGACCCGTCCTCCCTCGCTGCACTACACAACGCTACACTCGTAAAACCTTTACAACCACCTCTGCTTTCCATGAGCGGAGCGAAAAGCAATAACGCTGATGGGCATAAACGCCTCAGCCTCGTAGGCGCGCCCTCTCAGTCCCAGCATAACCAACACCATTTCCTTTTATTCACAGCTCCCAAAATAGCATGGATGGAGGGGATGGAGAGATAGATAGTAGGCCCACTCCACTGTGATACAGGAGCTAAGCAGGAAAAAGGCAGCTAAATGCCTGTGATTAGCTGTGCTTATGTCTCTTAAACGGGGAAGGTAGAACATGTCTAAAATGATTAGAGCTGGTTTCTGTTTCTGCGTGCCGTGGAGTGGCCTTATCTAGGGATCTGTGTCTGTCACAGACAGAGAGAAACAGTCTGAATCAGATGAGCGATCTACAGTGGGAGCTATAAAAAGAAGCCTGAGAAACTAGCGTGTGTGACTGTGTCAGACACTAACTTATCAATAACTACTCCCGCAGACACCAATGGCATGTACAGACCGACACAGACTTTGCATCTGTTCCAAGGAGTCTCAGTCTGAGCATTTGGTTCTGATTATATCTAAATTGTTTGGATGATGTAGGTTTGGCTGCAAACCTAAATCCCTTTGGATCTCATGTAGTCGTGTTTTCCAAAAGCACCTTACTATGGATTGTGGGGGTTTATTGTTTATGGTCTATATACCAGGGATGGGCAACTTTAATAGGGATGTGGGACACAAAAAATCTGAACTCATCATCATACAAAACATTACGAACACCTGCTCTTTCCATGACATAGACTGACCAGGTGAATCCAGGTGAACGCTTTGATCCCTTATTGATGTCACTTGTTAAATCCACTTCAATCAGTGTAGATGAAGGGGAGGAGACAGGTTAAAGAAGGATTGTTAAGCCTTGAGATAACTGAGACATGGATTGTGTATGTGTGCCATTCAGAGGGTGAATGGGCAAAACAAAAGATTTAAGTGCCTTTGAACTGGGTATGTTAGAAGGTACCAGGCGAACTGGTTTGTGTCAAGAACTGCAAAGCTGCTGGGTTTTTCACGCTCAACAGTTTCCCGTGTGTATCAAGAATGTTCCACCACCCAAAGGACATCCAGTCAACTTGACACAACTGTGGGAAGCATTAGATTCAACATGGGCCAGCATCCTTGTAGAATGCTTTCGACACCTTGTAGAGTCCATGCCCTGACGAATTGAGGCTGTTCTGAGGGCAAAAGGGGGGGTGCAACTCAATATTAGGAAGGTGTTCCTAATGTTTGGTATACTCAGTGTATAAAGTGCATTTGGAAAGTATTCAGACCCCTTGACTTTTTCCACATTTTGTTACATTACAGCCTTATTGTACACACAATTCCCCATAATGACAAAGCAAACACAGGTTTTTAGATTCCTTTGCAAATGTATTACAAATAAAAAACGGAAATATCATATTTACATAAGTATTCAGACCCTTTACTCAGTACCTTGTTGAAGCACCTTTGGCAGCGATTACAGCCTTGAGTCTTCTTGGGTATGACGCTACACGTTTGGCACACCTGTATTCTTCTCTGCAGATCCTCTCAAGCTCTGTCAGGTTGGATGGGGAGCGTCGCTGCACAGCTATTTTCAGGTCTCTCCAGAGATGTTCAATCGGGTTCAAGTCCGGGCTCTGGATGGGCCACTCAAGGACATTCAGAGACTTGTCCCGAAGCCACTCCTGCAAGCCACTCCTGTCTTGGCTGTGTACTTAGGATTGTTGTCCTGTTGGAAGGTGAACCTTCGCTCCAGTCTGAGGTCCTGAGTGCTCTGGAGCAGGTTTTCATCAAGGATCTATCTGTACTTTGTTCCGTTCATCTTTCCCTCAATCCTCCGTTCATCTTTCCCTCGATCCTGACTAGTCTCCCAGTCTCTGCCGCTGAAAAACATCACCACAGCATGATGCTGCTACCACCATGCTTCACCGTAGAGATGGTGCCAGGTTTCCTCCAGACGTGACGCTTGGTATTCAGGACAATCTTGGATTCATCAGACCAGAGAATCTTGTTTTTCATGGTCTGTCCTTTAGATGCCTTTTGGCAAACTCCAAGCGGGCTGTCATGTGCCTTTTACTGAGGAGTGGCTTCCGTCTAGCCATAAAGGCCTGATTGGTGGTGTGCTGCAGAGATGGTTGTCCTTCTGGAAGGTTTTCCCATCTCCACAGAGGAACTCTGGAGCTCTGTCAGAATGACCATCGGGTTCTTGGTCACCTCCCTGACTAAGGCCCTTCTCCCCCGATTGCTCAGTTCGGCCAGCTCTAGGAAGAGGCTTGGTGGTTCCAAACTTCTTCCATTTAAGAATGATGGAGGCCACTGTGTTCTTTGGGACCTTCAATGCTGCAGACATTTTTTGGTACCCTTCACCACACCTGTGGCTCGGAGCTCTACGGACAATTCCTTCGACCTCATGGCTTGGTTTTTGCTCTGACATGCACTGTCAACTGTGGGACCTTATATAGACAGGTGTGTGCCTTTCCAAATCATGTCCAATCAATTGAATTTACCACAGGTGGACTCCAATCAAGTTGTAGAAACATCTCAAGGATGATCAATGGAAACAGGACGCACTTGAGCTCAATTTCGAGTCTCATAGCAGAGGGTCTGAATACTTATGTACAGTAAATAAGGTATTTCTGTTTTTTATATTTATATTTAATAAATTAGCAAACATTTCTAAAAACCTGTTTGCGTTTTGTTTTCAGCAGAAGCTGAAGCTCAGCTGGGTCATGCAGCAAGACAATGATCCAAAACACACAATCAAGTCTACATGAAAATGGCTAAATAGCAACAAATTTGAAGTTTGAGAATGGCCTAGTCAAAGTCCAGACCTAATTCCAATTGAGATATTATTGAGTGTAAGTGTGCAATTACTTTTTCACACAGGGGCATTGGGTGTTGAAATCAAATCAAATTGTATTCGCCACATGCGCTGAATACAACATTACAGTGAAATGCTTACTTACAAGCCCTTAACCAACAAACCAGTTTTTTATTTAAAAACAAAAACAAAACAAAAAAAACAAAAAACAAGTGTTAATAGATAAGTTAAAAATTAAAAAATTAAAATAGCAAAAGTGTTGCATAAATGAAATAATTATGTAATTGTTGTGTTATTTGTTCACTCAGGTTCCCTTTATCTAATATAAGGTTTTGGTTGAAGATCTGATAACATTCAGTATCAAAAATATGCAAAAGTAGAGAAAATTAGAAAGAGGACAAATACATTTTCACGGCACTACAGTATATATTATTATTTGTATTTCATTTTGGGGAAATTGGTCCGTGGGCCTACAAAAGTGGGGCCAGGCCACCAGTTGCCCATTCCTGGTTTATAGCAGTAAATTATTTCACTCTGGGATTAATCTGGTGCTAACAACATTGATTATCATTGCCAGAGTTGTGCTCTATAAATAGAATACCCCAATGACTGGTGGCATTAATCGATATTTAAGAATCACATAGCAGATCAAATGGACAGGGGGAGGGTGGTATATCCATGTCTGAACTTCAGATTTGTTCAGGCTTGTCTACTATTATGGTGATATTTTTTATACAAGATTATGTCTCAAATGCAAACAATGTTGATAGTAAAGTGAAGGTTACATTCACAGTTAAACATAGTTAAACTTCCTAAAGCAGAATCAGATGTGTGGACACTGATGTGAACAATAAGTGTCTGATTAGCCTTTCACACGGTCCCCCTCAACCTCCTGACCTCTAATTCCCATTACTACACTATGGGAAGCCCTAGCTAGGTGACATGGATGTGGACACGGGTTCATCTCCATCTCAGGAGACCGTCAGGATCAATAGTGGACCCTCCTATTTAGACACACATGCTTGTGAGTATGGTTGAGTAGCCAATGACCATGGAGAGAGAAAGAGAGAGTGACACCAGCTGAATATGTGAGCCCCATCAGTGTTACTCCACATACACAGGAAGGCGTGGTATGACTGTGAGCTTCCAGACAGTATAGACCAAGTCTGACCTTCACGTAAAGTTTTTTTTTTCAATACATTTTCGCTACAAGAGTTTATTTTAACATTCAGGACTAGTGTATTGAGAACATTTATTTATTTTCCCTTTAGGAAAGTAGCTGTGCATAGAACCTCAAGCCTCTATTAGAAAAACAACCATGCCGCTTGAGGGAGATTGAAAGAAAACACAGTCAAGGTTAGCATACCAGAGGACATATGCAGCTGTTGGGGTGTAATGTGTATGGGCTTTCAGAGTTCTTCATCTGTTGACGTCTATCTGCATAATCCATTAAACACCATTGATTCATTGACCAGTCATTGACAGACAGCAAGAAATAGTATTTACATGCTACATCTCTTTATCTGCTGGGCTAGCCACTAGACACATTTCCTTGGCTAGCAGAGAACAGAGGAGAGGAGGGTTAATACTATGGAATGCAGCTCGGAGTACTTAAGGAACATTCTTAATGAGGGCTGCTGAACTGAAAGAGATAGGAGAGAATGGTATAGGAGGTCTAGGTAGTGATGATGGTCCCACTGGGGGCTGAAAGCAGATTCTCCTGGGCCCAGCTTTTCAAATGTTATCTATCTGGATTTCACCTACCGGATAGGATTAAATAGAAATATAATGAATAGAATGGACAAATCATTGACTTGAATGGGGACTCATTGACTTGAATGGGGACTATACATTTAATCCTATCCGGTAAGTGAAATCCAGATAGATAACTTTTGAAAAACTGGGCCCTGAGGACTAGAGAGGCTATAGTAGATCTGATCTGACTCCCACGGTGAGAGAGTGAAAGCCTTTACATCCTCCCCTCTCTCTCTCTCTCTCTCTCTCTCTCTCTCTCTCTCTCTCTCTCTCTCTCTCTCTCTCTCTCTCTCTCTCCCTCCTTCCCTATCTCCCTTCCCCACTTCGCTCTCTCTCTCCCTCCCTCTCTCCCCCTCCTTCGCTCTCTCCCCCTCCTTCGCTCTCTCCCCCTCCCTCCCTCTCCCCCTCCCTCCCTCTCTCACCCTCCCTCTATCTCTCTCTCTCTCTCTCTGTGGTGCTAATGAAACCGAACAGTGCAGACCCCAGATAACGTCTCCCTCCGCCTGACAATCACCTCTGACATTGCACTAATGGGGAATTTAGTGATGTTAATAAAAGCGGTCAATAGAGTGCCCCGGGGGGACTAGTACAAAGGCAACCACACACTTCTGATCTCGCCGGGGATATCATTAATAAGTCAAAAAATATATAATCCTCTGTATACCCCAAACCCATCCCCCGGCCCACACATACACTACATACAGTCATTAACATAAACACAGACTCACAGAAGACACACAAAAGACACACACACACACTTTCGAAATGAGACACTTGCACTCGAAGGCAATCACTAACAAGCATGCCTAGCCTATAGTCTTCGCACACAGACATGTACACCCTACATGTCGTAGAGACTAAACACTTAGGCCTATAGTCATTAGTGTTCATAATTCCCCTTTTAATTCATATTAGCAATTAAAGACCAAAGACATGGAGGAGCAGGCAGGACAGACGCCTTGTGGGACTGAATTAAAATAAGGAAACAGAACTGTGGCTGACAAGATGCTACTGTAGATATGTGGCTTCGTATTAGAGAACAGGGATTTCAGAGAGGAGGGGATGGCTTGTGATCTGGCTGCTGGCACACTAAATGAGCTTGCCTTCTCTCTTTCTTTCCCTCCCTCTCGCGCTCTCTCTCGTCTGCTCTCTTTCTCCCCATCTCCTCCCCCTTCTCCCTCCCCATCTTCGAGGGCAAAGAGTGTTTATTTGGATTGCATTGGAGTAGAATATAATCACTTTGGTGGTTGCCAAGGAAAATAAATCCCCTCCTTAATTTGTGAATATTTCTCAGTCATTCAGATAGTCTTTAATGTGCCTGTTCTGCTCCCCGGAGCTGCAAAACAATTCATCCTAATTACACGTAGTGTGAGAATGATATGATAAAGGGAAATGTTGTATCCCTGCAAAGTAGAGCAGTCAAAGGCAGTTATCTTGATTGCTGTGTTTGTTATTATTTTGACTGTGTGCATCCACCATAGTTCCTCTCAGACTCAACCTTGTGGTTTCTAGGGTCATTGGTGAGCTGTGGTTGCTTCCCTGTTGTTTAATGTCTAGAGGAAACATTAGAGCTGTAGCCTGAAATCCAGACTTGTTTTGTGCTAACATTCCACTCCTTGTACTCCGTGTAATATGCCAACTATGGAGTGGCAAGGAGTGGAATGTTAGCACAAACAGACTGGTACACATGCTATTAGAGCTGAGTTTAGCTGAGGAATGGCTCTGTAAGCTATTACCAGCGGTAACCTCAGTAGACTACAGTCAGTGTAAAATGTAAATGAATTATTCTGCTGGCTTTCTACATTGAACTGAGGCTGATGAGAACTCCCAGTGGAAGGGAGCTGTCTGCTTCTTGGTAAGTGAAAGTTGAGGTGTGAATGGAAACAGAGGCTGAATAATGATGTCTGGTTTGGTTTCACTGTATTAATATCTACAATAGCCTTGGACTTGCACTGTGTAAGATGAGTCTAGCACTATTGTACATTGTTCTCTGTAGAAATGGTAACATACCATGACTCTACTGAGCCAAAATGGACATTGTATGATTACAGAGAGGGAAATATGCACTATTTACAGTATGTGTTTGAACTATGCACTACTTACAGTATGTGAGTTTGAACTATGCACTACTTACAGTATGTGAGTTTGAACTATGCACTATTTACTGTATGTGTGTTTGAACTATGCACTATTTACAGTATGTGTTTTGAACTATGCACTATTTACAATATGTTAGTTTGAACTATGCACTATTTACAGTATGTGTTTGAACTATGCACTATTTACAGTATGTGTTTGAACTATGCACTATTTACAATATGTTAGTTTGAACTATGCACTATTTACAGTATGTGTTTGAACTATGCACTATTTACAGTATGTGTTTTGACTATGCCTATTACGTAGTGTTTGAACTATGCACTATTTACAGTATGGTGTTTGAACTATGCACTATTTACAGTATGTGTGTTTGAACTATGCACTATTTACAGTATGTGTGTTTGAACTATGCACTATTTACAGTATGTGTGTTTGAACTATGCACTATTTACAGTATGTGTTTGAACTATGCACTATTTACAGTATGTGTTTGAACTATGCACTATTTACAGTATGTGTTTGAACTATGCACTATTTACAGTATGTGTTTGAACTATGCACTATTTACAGTATGTTGTTTGAACTATGCACTATTTACAGTATGTGTTTGAACTATGCACTATTTACAGTATGTGTTTGAACTATGCACTACTTACAGTATTGTGTTTGAACTATGCACTATTTACAGTATGTGTTTGAACTATGCACTATTTACAGTATGTGTTTGAAACTAGTCACTATTTACAGTATGTTTGAACTATGCACTATTTACAGTATGTGTTTGAACTATGCACTATTTACAGTATGTGTTTGAACTATGCACTATTTACAGTATGTTAGTTTGAACTATGCACTATTTACAGTATGTGTGTTGAACTATGCACTATTTACAGTATGTGTTTGAACTATGTCACTATTTACAGTATGTTTTGAACTATGCACTATTTACAGTATGTTAGTTTGAACTATGCACTATTTACAGTATGTTAGTTTGAACTATGCACTATTTACAGTATGTGTGTTTGAACTATGCACTATTTACAGTATGTGTTTGAACTATGCACTATTTACAGTATGTGTTGAACTATGCACTATTTACAGTATGTATTTGACTATGCACTATTTACAGTATGTGTTTGAACTATGCACTATTTAAAGTAGTGGTTTGAACTATGCACTACTTCAGTATGTAGTTTGAACTATGCACATTTACAGTATGGTTTGAACTATGCACTATTTACAGTATGTGTTTGAACTATGCACTATTTACGTATGTGTGTTTGAACTATGCACTATTTACAGTATGTTTTGAACTAGCACATTTACAGTATGTGTTTGAACTATGCACTATTTACAGTATGTGTGTTTGAACTATGCACTATTTACAGTATGTGTTTGAACTATGCACTATTTACAGTATGTGTTTGAACCATGCACTATTTACAGTATGCGTTTCTCTGTAATTCTGTAACCTCTGAAAGGGTCTTATTCAACTCACCGTCTTGGTGCACTGCATGTGCTTCCCCAGCAGTGTGTGTGTGTGTGTGTGTGTGCATGCATGCATCCTTGCGTGCGTCTCCTCTGTAACTCACCGCTTTAGTGCACTGCACGTCTTTCCCCAGAAGCCAGTTGAGCTCCAGGTTGCCCTCTCCCTGGTAGCAGGACTGCAGGCGCTCCTTGATGCGGGCGTTGATGTCCTTGATGGTGAACACGCAGAGCCGCCGAGTCATCTGGCGGCTGGTGGTACTGCTTCTGGCCCTTGGAGAACACGGTGAAGAGCACGTCGTCCGTAGCACTGATGTTCAGCGAGGCGGCCAGCACGCGGCCCGGCTTGGCTAGGTAGGCGGCCTGCAGGAGACGGTACTCCACGCCGTTCCTCACGCAGCCCACGGGTAAGGAGACGTACGAGTGGAACTTGTGGTCGTCCTTGCAGAGGCGTACGATGCGCGAGGTGTAGAAGAGATCGTTGGAGGATCCACCTGATGACATGCTGTTCTCCGGTGTCTCGGGCTGGACGGTCAGGAAATAGACGAAGGATCCGCTGGCGAAGCCGTACACATAGTAGATGTCGAAGTGGTACACCAGCGCCAGCGTGTCTGACGGGATCTTTATCAGAGATGAAACGAAGTCCGTGTGGAGCTCGTAGTCTAGCATGGCTGAGGACTCTGGGTCGCGTGGCAGCTTACGGCTAGAAATGGTAGGGAAGTAGTCCTGCTTGCCGTCTACTGCCGTCCCGATGAAGAGAGTCCCGTCCTGGCCATGGGAGGGCACGATGACCCCGTACATGGTGCCTGTCTGGTTGACGCTGGAGAGGTAGTGCTCTTTCTTATGGGATGGCTCCACTAGGATAAACAGGTCGTCCAGACGAAGGAGTTTACAGACTCCCTGGTAGAGGCTACCGCAGGCCAACAGGCGGTTCTGGCTGTAGTCTATGAGGAGCAGCTTGTTGACGTTGTTAGTGGAGGTCAGGGGTTCAGAGCAGGGCTGGACGATGAGGGGTGGGTAGCAGGCCTTGTTATCATCCTCGGGGCCTGTGTCGTGGGACACCATCAGGGTCAGGTTGCCTGATAGCTTGTAGACACGGTTGACTGCTCCGATGTAGAGCGCCCCCGTTGTCTGGTGGACCGTCAGATGGTTGAAGGCCCACTCCCGGCGCTCTGGGTGGAAGCTGGTGAAGGTGGTCTGGCCTTGGCACACGGTGGCAGCGACAGCTAACACCCAGCAGCCCAGCATGGCCAGCACAGCGCCCCCTCTAGGGCCCGCTGGGAATGTCCTGCCGCTGTATTGTGTGACCCGCCGCGACCGCCAGCCCTCCATACCTCTAGGGGCTCTGCAACAAGGCAACAGCAGACTGAACAGGGGTAGGATGGAGGAGGAGTGGGAGGGAGGCTACCTTCCTCTTTGTGTTCTCAAAGGTTCACGCTTTTATCTTCACCAGGGTCTTCACATGTTTCTGAAAGAGAGAAAGAGAGAGAGGTGGGTGAATAAACGAAAGTTAGCACATTGTGACTCACACTCACAGTCAAAGGGGAAGCAGATAAAAACTGACGGAAAAGGCATTTCATTCGGTTCCTCCTGCTGCTTTAGAAGGTCAGGAGTTCACCCTGGCCAAGGCGATGAGTTAGGGAACAGTAGAATGAATGCTGACAGAAGACATTGGCAGAAAACCTTTATCGCCACATTCCAGAGGAGTTGCTGGACAGGATAGGTCTGATAGGACAATGAAGGAAAGTGAGCAGGTTATGGCTAACGGAAATTAGCATGACTTGAGTCCTGCTGCCTAGCTGCCTCATCAGGCCTCAAACACTGAGACAGTGGGTTTCTAAGAACAGCACAAAACAATGGACTGCCCAGGGCGCCACATTTCACAGATCAAGCTTCACCATGCGCTGAAATGAGTCATACTACTTAGTGTCATCCACACATCAGAGAAGCACACTTCAGGCTAGAGCTCTATAAACCACGGAGCCACTTATTTAATGCTATAATGAACAGATGCCATGGGTCAAATAATAAAAGGAAGAGGCAAAAAAAATCTTGACATTTAAACCGAGGTTTTACGGTCTTAAGTATTCCAGCTAGAGAAAGACTTACGAGGATACAGCACAGCTAAAAACCAAAGGAATGATAAATACATATATTGGGCTCATATTACCCTAAATCTATTTCTGGGAAGGAAGCATTAGCATTGCCATCTCATTTCGGTTCTACCCCCTCCTCCCATATGACTCCTCTATCCATGCTACTAATTTCCAATCTAACTGTGAAAACATACATCAAGGAAAGTTTGCAATTTATGTAACAATGCTTTGCAGACTGGCTGCATACATTTCATCCCCACCACCATGTTATAAATCAAGAGAGAGAGAGAGAGAGAGAGCAGAGATAGAGACGAAGAGAGAGAGAGAGAGCGAGATATCGAGAGAGAGAGAGTAGCGGAGACGCGAGCGCGCTAGGCTCGCCCTCGCGCTCGCGCCTAGGTCCGGCCGAACGCGCGAGTCTGCGCGCTGACGCTCCGCCGCTTCCTCGCTCGCTGGGCGGCGCCTCTGCTGCTCGCCACGCTCCCATCGCGCGTGGCTGCGTCGCTAGCGTCTCTCTATGCCTCGCGCTGCCTCTTACTACTCACGTCCCCCTTCACAAAGAGAGCCCCTCTTCACGTTTATCCCCAGGAGTTAATTATCTGGTCCGCAGTAGAGGGGAGGTCTGGCTCTTACTACTGGAACAAAGTGAGAACAAATTGGGAGACAGATCCTCTGCTTGCACCCCTCCTCTGTCTGTTTTATCTCCCCACTTCTTCCATCCTTCCCTCTCTCACATCCCTCCCTCCGCCCTCTCTGCCTTTCTCCACCCCCTCCCTCGTTATCTCTCCCTCGTTTTAATAGTGCATCCAATACAATGCTGTGTTTTCTCTCCCTTTATCAGTATTATTCCATCAGGACCAAACAACACCATGCAGTGAGGGGCTAACAAGTGGAGACAATGGCAGCGATGGAAGCAGCGCATTGTGAAATCAAGGATGATCAGGCATAGCGCTACAACAAGGGTAATTAGTGGCTTGCTGGACGAGGTAGCTGGGGACCATGTGTGTGTCGGTGGGGACGCCAGGGGGGTGAAACGTGTCGGACACAAGCCTACATCGTTCGGTACGCTCTACATTTGCATTTCTCAGCAGGAAGAGAGGAGAGGGCAGCAGAGAGAATCAAGCCACGGGTGAGAGAGAGATGTGGCTGGAATAATCAGCAGCTTCTTTGAATTCGTCATTTGCATATGTCTGGATGGGGCAGGATATAGAGGCTATCTACAGTGTTCCAGGTGGGTCTGATGATATACAGCATATAGATTTTATAGATTTACAGTCCCTCTCCACTACGTCTGGTCAGTTTACACACACCCCTCCCCCCAGCCCATAGCTGTCAAAACCTGCTCATTGTCATCCTGCGTCCCTCCCCCCACCTCCATCGGTGATCAACTGATAGGCTACTCAGCCAGTTCAGACTTTAATATACACTTCTGGGGAGAGTATTGATCCCTCAGCCCATAAACAGTGAGTTCCTAGGGGCCACTGGGGCCTGGCAGCCTGTTAGCTAATAGAGGGCCTGGCGTGTGCTGGGATGGGCTGAGGGAGGTGGGTGGGCTGCTCTGAGGTGTCCCATAAAAAAGCTAGGCTGGGCTATAAACCAGGGTCAAGCCCCCCTCCTGCCTTACCCTCCCACCCTGACTGAACCATGGCTGCATCCGCCATGCTGCTTCCTTTGTTTGAGTGTGTGCATTGTACTATGGAGGTGACAGGCAGAGCAGAGAGCAGAGTAGAACAGAGGAGGGGTGCATCCCAAATGGCAAAGTGTTCCTTATATAGTGTACTACTTCTGAACCAGAGCCTAATGGGAATAGGGAATAGGGTGCCATTTGGGATGCAGCACAGAGCGTATCCCTCTGGAGGTGTAATCAGGCTCCTGCTGAGGCAGCAGTTCTTTCCTTCTCAAGCACCTCAGCATTTTGCCCTTTAAGGCTTTAGAACGCAGGCAGGCAGGCAGCACCACCCCACCACTTCCCTAACCCCACCCCCACTACCCTAACCCCCCCTCCACCTCCCTAACCCCCCTACACCTCCCTAACCCCACCCCCACCTCCTAACCCCCTACACCTCCCTAACCCCCCCACCCTCCTAACCCACCCCCACCTCCCTAACCCCACTACACCTCCCTAACCCCCCCTCCACCTCCTTAACCCCCCCCCCACCCCCCCCCCACCTCCCTTAACCACCGTCCCACCCCTACCCCCCCCCCCCCACCTCCCTACCCTCCTCACCTCCCTAACCCCCCCCCCCCACCCCCCCTCCCCTGTGGTATATATATATATTACCACCCAATCCCATCTCTCCCTTCCTTCCTCCTCTCCCTCAGTATCTCCTCCTTCCCTAAGGCTTGGGAAGAATATACGTTTCATTCTTCCCTTTTCATGTTGTGGTGGGTGAGCTGGCGGCAGCTGCACTGAAGCAGAAGCAGAAGCAGAAGAAGAAGAAGAAGAAGCAGAAGAAGCAGAAGCAGAAGAAGACGCAGAAGAAGACGCAGAAGAAGAAGCAGAAGAAGCAGAAGCAGAAGCAGAAGAAGAAGCAGAAGAAGCAGAAGCAGAAGAGACTGAACTCATTAATGGTGTCCATAAATGACTTCTCAAAGGTCAGCTGTTAATATGACTACCAGGAAGAGAAGCTGTACCAACCAATGGAGCTTGTTTATGTTGTTTTCCCCTCCGTTTTGCTGCTCCTGACGGGTAGGGATTCATTATGCTGCCAAGCAGGGGATTTGAATAGCAGGATTGCCTTCGCTTGTTAGTAGCATTCTTGTTTGAAGCCAAGTTGTCTTTTTTCTCCTCCTCGCTGCAGATTAGCGGGTACTAGTGAAGCAATTAACATGTAAGAGCTAGTGTTGGTGATTCACGAGCCAGTCACCTAATAGCCTAGACCTAGAGAAGAGATGGAGCATCATGAGTGATACGCCTGACTGAGTCTGTGGTTGCATTTGTGGGCATTTGTAGGCTACAACAGAGACATTCTTGTTCCAGGCTTGATTTGCTTATGAGCTATATTGAACGGTAGAAATAGCATTGTACAGTACAAACACCTCTTTCAATTCACCTCCAACGCTACCAGTGTGTCACATAGGCCTAATCTCCGAACCCAGACCCAACTCTTGCGTGCTGGCGGCGTGCAGCTGGCCAGCTACTCAATTTGTCTGTCACGAGAGACTACCAGCTAAACAACAACTCCACCCAATGCAGGGCTATCTTTGTCTACTCACTGACACATTGAGCCATCTGTTTTCTAAACAAGCCTTGTTTGTGGGTCAGCTTTGATTTGTTGACACATTACAACTGCGATGCACAAAGATGTATTGGCGTGAAGACAAATGTCAGCTACCGTGGGAATTACATAATCCCACAGACAAGCTTACAAAAAGCCTCAGATTGCTCAATGCGCTAAATGTACTCCTGGATTAATCAATCTGTCCTATGTTTATCAATCTTGCCATTTAATCTACCAGCTCATCATTAGTCAGTATGTAGGCACAGGTTTTCCACTGACCACCACTGTTGTGTGTTGAAAAACACAGCTACTGTACAGGCCTAATGTTACTCTACATCAGGGATCATCAACTAGATTCAGCCGCGGGCCGATTTTTTCTTGAGCGGATGGTCAGGGGGCTGGAACATTATTTCAAATAATTTGTCAACTGAAAATTGCCCGCAAGAAGCCCAAACGGATATAATATTTAACTAAAATAGAATGATTTCAAACCTTGCTTACGTTTGTATACGATCACATGCTGTATATCTCTCTATTATGCGTGGGAATACTTTGGAACAGATTTCCAAAATTCATATCACTTGGAGCGGATTTGCTGGTGTTTTTACAGGCTTTTACAGTGAGGGAAAAAAAAGTATTTGATCCCCTGCTGATTTTGTACGTTTGCCCACTGACAAAGAAATGATCAGTCTATCATTTTAATGGTAGGTTTATTTGAACAGTGAGAGACAGAATAACAACAAAAAAATCCAGAAAAACGCATGTCAAAAATGTTATAAATTGATTTGCATTTTAATGAGGGAAATAAGTATTTGACCACTCTGCAAAACATGACTTAGTATTTGGTGGCAAAACGCTTGTTGGCAATCACAGAGGTCAGACGTTTCTTGTAGTTGGCCACCAGGTTTGCACACATCTCAGGAGGGATTTTGCAGATCTTCTCCAAGTCATTAAGGTTTCGAGCCTGACGTTTGGCAACTCGAACCTTCAGCTCCCTCCACAGATTTTCTATGGG